ATGAAATATAAAATGAGCAGTAAAGAAATAAACAAAAAACACATTTGTGTGTGTAACAAATTGTGGATTTTTGTTTATATCTGCACCTGGCCAGCGTTGCGGTGTAAGGTATCTGCTCTTTGCGTACGAGGAATACTCAATATGTCCACATTGGCCAGTGACTTCTCTCAACCTCTCTTTTCCAAGCTCTCCCTTCCAATACTCTTTCATATCGTTCATCCTCTTACACCTCCTGTGCATCTCTCTCCCCTTCTCTTGTGCCTGCTACTCCTTTTTTTTTCTATGTACCTCTCTATCTGAGTCACCTCCTCATCCTCTATCTCCCTTTGTCTACCTTTGACATCACACCCTGGCTGCCTCTGCAGTTTCAGCCTTTTTCAAGGCTCCAGATTCAAGTACAGACAATGAAAGATCTTTTGCCTTGACCCTCGACCCTTGACCCTTGACCTCTGGGAGGTCCTGTGCCAAACACGGTCTGTTTCACCACTACCTTGCACCTCTCACCTTTCTGAACTGTCACTGTGCCACTCAGTAGCTCCCATTCAAAGCTATGGTAAAGTAAATTTTATGACGTTTAAGACAATCTTTCATCTTTCAAGGGAGAGACACTCCCTTGCTAGGCTTAATTGCTAGTCCAGTGAAGACGTGTCCTTGACAAAACAGCCTTGTTTATCGAACAAAGCTTATTTAACTTTTTGAAAGAATCTCCAATTTTTTATATAGGGGGCAATTCATGACTCCACATCTAAATAAGTGGCACTCTTAAGGGCGGTGGCCCTTGAGTAGTACAACATAGGGACTTGATTTGTGAAGCACAGGGGCAGATTACTATACTGGACTCCCAGACAGCAGCAGCAGCAGCAATGGCTACGAACAAAGAGGAGCTATTCTACCTACAGGGAAGAACAGGTGTCAACTCACTGGTAGTGCCAGCATCTGGACACCAGCGGGCGATACTGAGCACACCCAGAGCTCACCTGATTGAGCAGCAAGACTCACCAGATCTAACTTCTGCCTCACCTGCAAGTGGCACAGGAAGAGATCTTCATTCTGAATGTATTCTGAATTCTGAATAATGCAATTCTGTATAATGTGAATTTAGAGTGTTTGGGAACCATTTTCAATCAAAGGGGAACAGCTGATAGTGTTGGGACAGGTGAGCTACAGTAGAACTCGCAACTAACCCTATGAGCACGGTACGTTTTGCAGTAAGGAGAAGCTGATGTGTGGCTTGAAGATATTGAAAATTAGATTGCAGGATTTGGTGCTGTAAACAAAATCAATAATAAAAATACCTTACACTTACATAGCACTTTTCTTGACACTCCACTCAAAGCGCTTTACAGATAACGAGGACTCCCCTCCACCACCACCAGTATACAGCCCCACCTGGATGATGTGACAGCAGCCATAGTACAGAGGTACACTCACACCACACCAGCTATTAGTAGGGAGGAGAACAGAGTGATAAAGTCAATTCATAGATTGGGATTATTAGGAGGTCTTAAATGCCAATGGGAGATTTGGCCAGGACACCAGGGTAACACCCCTATACTTTACGGGAAATGCCCTGGGATTTGTAATAACCACAGAGACTCAGGACCTCGGTTTCACATCTCCTCTAAATGATGGTGCCTGTTTACAGTATAGTGTCCCTGTCACTATACTGGGGCATTAAGATCCATATGGTATGCAGGGGAAGCGCCCCCTGCTAGCCACACTAACACCTCTTCCAGCAGCAACCTTAGTTTTTTCCAGGAGGTCTCCCATCCAAGTACTGACCAGACTCACACCAGCTGAGCTTCAGTAGGTTGCTAGTTGCTAGTTGTGAGTTGTGAGTTGCCAGGTGATATAGCTACTGGGAATTGTGAGGGCAAGACCTAGTTCCCCTTCTCTTTTGTTTGAATTCAAAAGATTGCAGTTCTCCTTCTGGAAAAAAAAACAATCTGAAGAAAACAATAACTTATTTTCCTCACTTTTAACTCTAACCACTATTCCATTCAACAAGCTTATAGACATGACCAATTAATTACATTTCTGCCAAATCAGACACAATCACTCTAACATTTGCTGACATTTACAATACAATACAAACAGATTTTTGGACATTTACATACATAAAACAGAACATTATTGAGAGATAAGCTCACCGTATGGTCCTCAGACTTTGACAGGAGATCACATTATTATTATTATTATTATTATTATTATTATTATTATGCCTCCTGCTTCCATCTCCTACCTGCGGAAGCTGTCCTACTTACGGTAATTTCCAAAACACACATCTCGCCCACTCAAAGACTGCCAGGAACAGAAGATAAAATCTTGGTATATATACAATACATACAATATTGTTCCTTATAGTATGTTTAAGTTGGACTGAGTTACTATCCTTTTTATTAACCTCAAACTCCAGAGATTAGGATCAGACGTTTGAAAACATCTGGTCTGATCTGCATCTCTGCTGAGGCCCCACCTGCTCGTCAGTGTAGCCATGATGTGGAAGTGTGATGCTGTAGCCCCACCTCCTGGAGGTCATGAGAACAGTCCTGTCTGACACAGTTCTCCACCATTTCTTCAAGTCCTAACTGAAAGCACTTCCTGGTGCTGCCTATCACCTCATCAACTCTTTGGGCTGAGCTGTTCTGCTTTCTCTCTGCTTCTGCAAAGCCCTGTATCAGTAATCAAAGAAATAATCCCTTGCTTTATTATAGCATTATTCATCCCCTATTATTCCTAAACTATACATGGGAGGGGTCCAATTTTATCCTTTTCGAAGTACAGCACCTACCATACTGTAGACTGCCTCCCTCCCTCAGCCTTAGATCTCAGCTCACACTGCCTCCTGCCCTCTTCCTCAGCTCTAAATCCTGATCACACTGCCTCCCTCCCTCAGCCTTAGATCTCAGCGCACACTGCCTTCCTCAGCCTTAGATCTCAGCACACACTGATTGCCTCTATATCGGTCAGCCCCTGACTCTATCCCTGTAACACCATGCTTGTATGCTCAATCAGGTGCACATGTGCACTCCAGAGCTCTTTCCTTAAAATCAAGAGTTCACTGTTTTTGCTCGTAGGTCAGTTGTCAGCAGTTGGAGACTGTGGCTGTTCTGTGTCTCTGACGTCGTGGGCTGTGACTAGAAGGAATGATAATTCATGGAGTGGGGCTCAGAGCTTGAATTCCCAGAGCCATCACTGTCCATGAAGTCCATTCCCTTATTCTCTTATAGACGGATTCCTTACAAATCTGCTTGGAAAATTATTGAATCGATAAGGATTAGTAGGGCTTTGAAACGTAAGGTGTCGTGCTGTGGTTTTCACATAAAGTGCAATAATATTGCACGTTATTGTGCCATGTTTTGACAGACCATCCACCTCAGAAATACAAAAGCCCTGCTTTGAGAATCGTCTTTTAATCCAGTAATCTGTGGTACAGCACTATAACTGGCAGAAGCGTGGTTGTGCTGTTAACAGCAGCGGTTTGGAGAGAACCTGTGGAATATAATAGCCTCAGAAAATCTGAGAGAAACGCTGTCACACGCCAGGTTTTTCATTATTCACTCAGCCAGTCTCGTTCAAGCCGTCCATCTTGTCTATATATTCGTCTTTCGAACTCAGTAATGCTGAAATTATCCGTAGGTTGGTTTCCGTGTTCATTTCTCATTTGCGCATAAACTGGTTTCCATGACCTCCTCACCTCAAGTGAACCGACAATGCACCTAGCAGCTCAACTTTATTGTCAAGACCAGTAGGTTTCGTGATATTCGAGATCTTGCACTGTTGCGCCGCCACAACTTCTGTATTTATTCGTGGAACACAGATGACCCCTGGCGATCAAAAATAGCATTGCTTATACTCAATTTTGGGGCTAAAGCTGTTTTAAGGTGGTCTGCACCGACGCTTTCAATCTGTAATCATTAAATATGCAGGTACACGCGAGATATAACGTTAGAAAATCACTCAAATTGTGAATTGATTAATGATTGGATCTGAGGGACTATGAGAGGGGAGAAGGAGGCAGAGAAAGATTTACTCTTTAGTTACATTGCATGAAACGAGGAGGGAAAAGTTTTTTGCTTCCCTAATAACTTTATGTTATGTATATGTATATGTAGTAGTTCAGGTGAGTAGGTGCGACAGCATGCGTAGGCTGCAAAGGAACAAGTAATAGGTTTATTCGATGCTGAAAAAAAGAAGAAAAAAAAGCACACCTCACAGCTGAAGAAACGTTGTGTTTTCTTATTTTTTTTCAGCATTAAATATACCTATTACTTGTTCATATGTATATGTATATGTTTATGTATATGTATATGTACATAACTAATAACTATATATATAACTAATTGCAGAATAACGTAATGCATATAACTTATAACTATATATATATAATCGCGCGATTCACATTATTATTAATAATAATGGTTTGTTCTTGTAAATGTGTCCTTAATTTATAATGCTTTTGCAACACTGTAATTCTTCGGTCATACAATCACAGCGGTTTGAATTCCTGGGCTGGTGTGGGCTGGTGGTTAGAGCTGAGGGGGGAGACAGAGGCGGTCAGACCGGGAGGGGTCATCTTGCTCACACCCTGGCGGAACAGCCACGTCAAGCCGGAACACCTGGGAACACGCGACCGCACCGCGACACCGGTGACACGGCTTGCGATTGGGGACGCCTGGGACAGAGTCCATTACCCTGCTCTTTTCACTCAGAGTCTACCTTCTTTGTCCCAAAAGCACAAATCTAGCGAGATATAGGGTGAACTTAAACCGTTTTGTTTTAAGAGAACAGTTAATCCTCATAAAGTCGTTTTATGTTTTATGGATGTGCTGAAAGGAATAAGTGACGTTAATGGCGAGCTTCACCTGGCAAGGAGTCAGTTAGACTGGATGAGTAGATGTGATGAATTAGCTGCTACAACTCTTCACATCGGCTGCCCGTGCAATTTACCCAGGGCTGCCGCGATGAGATTCTGATCAATGTGAAAAATTGCGAACTGACTACATTTGTTTCTCCCCGAGCAATCTAAACCGTAATCAGAGCGGTCTAAGGTGTATGAATCGTACACAACACTAAAAGGGGCTTTGAAGAAATCGCCGATCCTCAAAAAATACAGAGATCGAGAATCTGGGTCACGTCTAAGACAGTTGTACGGCCTTGCACATCGCAGTAATTTATGAACTGAAAAATTACGAACGTGAAAATGCCCTACATTTCATTAATACGCGGTTATTGCAGTTAAAGCGCTGTGATTCGCAAGGGTCATTACAACGCACGTCGTTTCCTATGGGTGTATGCGCACGGAGCTCAGCTCCGAGTAGTCGCACACGTTTGCAGTTCCGCCGCGCTAAACGGTGGATCAGGCAGAGTCGGGCTGTATCGTATCAGCAGACGAAGTATAAAAGGAGCCGAAAGAAATGCAGAGCAGTAGCGCAGTCCAGAGAGTTGCTGTTCTTCAGCCAGTGACAGAGACTACAATACCGCGCCACCTTAAGTTCAGGGCGCGCTCTCGGCCCGTCCCCTGTCCCTCAGCCCCTCTCCCTCCGGGCGCGGAGAGAAGTGCCACGGCGGACAGCGCTTGAGAGTGACCCCAGGCTCCACGGCTCGCCGTGCTCCGCTCCACAGCCCTGTCCCGCCTGAAAATCCCGTGTCCGGGGTCGCCTTGTCACACGCACACGGCCGGAGTGACCTTGAGCGCGGTCTCTTCAACGGGGGGGGACTGGGGGAGGGTGAAAATATGCGGTGTCACAGGGCTAAATGGGTTTTTAAAAGAAGGAACAAAATACTGACTCAAAGTTTAAAACGATAGTAAATCCGTCTGGCAGCCGAGAGTGAAAGAAACGGGAGGGAAAAACCCGCCTACAAGCTGGACATTAAAAAATGAACTTTTTTTCCAGGCGAGAGCGTCCCCTCATGATTGATTATTGTGGCACTGATCCAGGGTTATATATATATATTTTAAAACTGCGTTTTCTTTGCGCACGAAATTTCGCTTCTCTTGAGATCAAAGGGGCTGCAGGAAAGGGGTGGTCCCGCAGTGAGGATATAAAGTCAGCCCGGGACACGGGGAGCTCAGAGAGAACAGGAGGGAGAGTGTGAAAGACAGAGACGCAGTGGAGAGCTGCGCTTTACAAAACTCTCCGACAGATACGGGACTCGCTAGAAGAGCGCTTTTCTAACTACACCCTGTTAATACCGGCAACAGCACTGAGCCTCTGTCCTTCACAGCAGAATTTACACGGGTATCTCTTTGGACTTCTTTGCTTTTTTTAACTCATACATACTTTACCAACGGGCTGTAGACTTTATTTTTCAGAGGTGCAGGTCGCACGTTGACTTTTTTTCTTTTCTGTCCTCCGTCATTCATTTGCATCCGTGTCTTAACGTTTTTTTGAGGACTGCGCGGGGATATGAGGTCCTTCCTGTGTTTTTCGCTTGGTTTCGTGGCCGCTCTGTGCGCGTATGCGGCGCAGAATGTCTGGGAGGAAGGTACCGCGGTACCGGTCCTGCTCGACCCGGCGGTGCTGAGAGAGGCCGGGGACGACCGCCCTCTCAGTCCGGAGGAGAGCGAGAAAGAGGCGCAGAAACGGGTTTACCAGTTGGAAGTGTTTGGCCAACGGATGGTTTTGGACTTGGAGCCGGACCAGACCTTTTTGGCTCCTGGCTTCACGTACCAGGTGGTCGGTACCCCGGGAACCCCAGTGTCCGGGGAGCGGACCGATTCCGACAGTGCGGCGGCGACTGGGTGCTTCTACTCCGGCACTGTCAACGGGGACCCCGGCTCCGGCGCGGCGCTCAACCTCTGCAGCGGGCTGCGGGGCGGCTTCTACCTCCAGGGCTACGAGTACTTCATCCAGCCCCACAGCAGCGCGGAAGGGGAAGGAGAGCTCCACCTCATCCGCCGCAGGAACACGGGGTCATTGGCCGGGGAAGGCGCTTCCAAATGCGGGGTGAACGAGGAGGAGGAGCGGATAGCAAAGAGCCCCGAGCCGCCGCAGGAGCAAGGACAGCGGAATCCTACCGATCAGACAGGTGAGACGCGCTGAGTGGCTTCTCTCTGTTTTGACTGGTGAGCTGAACTGGAGCCCAGTCGCTAAAGAAGTTGCCTATTTCCCGTGTTTCTACTCTTGAACGAGCAATTGGGGGTTTCTAAAGGCTGCGAACGGGACCGTCCTGTTCTGCTTGTCCGGCTGTCTGCGTGTGCCTTGAGCCGCTGTCCTTCAACGCCGGGTCGAGGTCGGAGCGCACTGCGCCTGGCATCTCTCCGAGAAGAGTGAGCCGACGCAAAAAGGAAATACCTGCCCTTAGGTGTTGAGTGTGTCAGCTGTCATTCGTTTTAACACAGGCTTTTCATTTAGAGTGATGGGAGAGGGATTGCTGACAAATAAACTAAATAAGGAGCTCGGAAGTACTAGAGGGCAGCATAAGTGACAGTGTCGCGGTCTCGTAATGACGGCTTGGTGGTTTCTGGTCAACCCGCTGAAATTTCACAAGGCTTGGAAAGTTGTATTTACTCGCTCAATCGTCCTTGGGCACGAGTCTAGCTGTGAAGCGCTTTTTAAATATTTCCAAACTCAGTGCAGTCGCAGTCCTTCAAGGGATACGCGTCAACTGCACGCTCGCTGAGAAGTAAAACGTGAAAACGAAATCGCACGGTTCGGCCCTCTTCAGGTGTGAGCTGATTAATAATTATCCAAGATTAAAGGAAGGAAGATGAAATTGTGTCCACTGGGAGTCTGAAACGCGGGGCCTCGGTATGCTGTCCGTGCGGTTTGGTTAGAAGGAGGAGGGAGCGCTCCTTGACAGACAGAGGACGGGGAGAGCGCGGGGATGGGTCAGCGGGCTCGGGTGGGGTGTGCGATTCGGGATCCGGTCCACCCTTACCAGCCCTTATGTCTCCTCCACCTCTCACGGCCTCCGCGCGTTACCACACGCAGAGCGCTGTCCGGCTGGCACCACCACGTCCGGCAGCCGCTCTCCCCGCCTTCCTTCACCGGGAGAAAGGGACGACGTTTCCTCACGTTTTTGGTGGATGGAGGCGGGAGGTCTGGTACAGACCGCGCGGTGACCAACAGGGGCAGGGGGCGAGGCGGGGCGTGGCGACAGAGCCGCCCTCTGAGAGGCTCACGGCCGCAGCGAAAAGAGGATCTGCCGCCACAGGTTGTGCGATATATGACCTTTAGCGGTGTACCTCAGGTCCTTGCTTCTGTTTTTAGAAAGTTAGCACGTTTTCAAAAATCGTTGGCTTTGCCGTTCCTTGTAGATCAAGCGATAACTGTCACGTCAGGCGGCAAGCAGTTAACACCCCACAGCCTCTTTCCTCAAATTGATTGATTTTCTTTGTTTGATAACTGCTGGACAAATAGCTGGTCTCAGGTTCAAGATCTAGCCAGATCTGCTGTCTAGTGGCCAGCCTG